GCGCTGCTGCCGTTACCCCGCTATGTCTGAATTTGGTATCCCCGCATAACTCATAGGTATGTGCTTTCTCAGTAAACTGATGCTAACCAAAATCTTCGCCAGTATTTGCAAATATCTCTCCGAAACACACTTTCTTTTGAGCTTTCTTCAGTTTGGACTATAAAGCAAGACGAATGGGTAGTGAACAACGAAATATCCCCCGTTCAAAAAAAAGACTTTCGTTACATAACTCGTAATTTTGAAATTTAGATAATTTTTTCTATCTAGGAAGCAGCCTCGATCTTCAACGCATGGCGCAGAATAGACGAGTTACCGAAAGAGGTTTTCGAGAAAGAGGTTTTGCAGAGGCCTCCACTGAACCAAGACGAATATCGTAGTGGAATGCTGAGGTGTATGAAATACAACAGAACATTAACAACAGCGAATTAAGAAATGGTGGCTTCACTGCCTACGAGATGTCGTTCGGATGGACTAAAACACTTCAACTTAAAAAAAGACCAGAGGAAAAAAAGAGGAAGAGTCTCCATTCCGTACGAAAGATCAAGTGGACTAACTTTGCTTGGTGTCTCTGAAATAAAACGGGATAATGAGCTGATTTTAAAATCATCGCAACAACTTCATAAAAGAACTTGGGAGCAACAACAAATATAGTATGTCAATTAATTGTGTGCAAAATGAAAAACAAATTCATTTTTCAACTTGATTTTTATTAACTAAAACAATTTGTTTTAACTTTTTTTTTAAATAATATTAGTCTGAGTAATCTCTACACAAATAATGCACACAAATTCCAGAATTCAAGACATAAAAGTTAAAGAGATGTAAATATTATGGAGTCAATTAATTGTTGCATCTATCCCAACCCGAAGATGACGGGACATGGCATAAGGTTGCTTAACTCATAATTTCAGGTCAGGTATTTTGTTCCATTCTTCCTGAATGACCTTAATAAGAGCGTTTTTATTAGTTGGGCCTGTTTGCCCACTCGCTTCTTTAAAAAAGCCCATACATTTTCTATGAGGTTTAAGGCAGGACTCTGGGTAGGAGTGTCAATCACTTTACTTCAATTATATAGTAGCCGCGTCCTGCACAGCAATGATTTACCTGTACCTTCATTTACTAGGGTCCAAGAAAAAATGCCTCGCCACCACGTCACTTAAAATTCGGAGCTCACCAACACAATTCTACAAAATGCAACCCCAAACCATTACTGAAAGCTTACCAAATTTTACTACTGGAATTAAATTTTTCTGTTGCAAAGCTGTGTTGGGTTTTCTCCAAACTTTACCGGGTCCATCATGATAGCATAGCATTATTTTTGTCTCGTCGCAAAAAATAACGACATCCCAGTATTCCGAAAGAAAAGTTGAGCCGCTTCTCCATATTAACTGCCGGCAACAATGGTTTCTTTCTCGGTATTTGCGAGGAGTGCTCGTGTATTTTTAAGACTTTTCGGATGGTCTCGTGACTTACTGTTTTATGACAATCATTTTTAATATCTAACGCCAATTTCTCAGGGTGGTTTGAGGATTTAAGAATATTAAATGAAATAACGAAGAAAATCTTAACCAAACTGAGAGCTCCGCGTGTCCATTACTTCTTGGAAAGTGCTTGAGCATCCATAAAATTACATGCTTAATTAACACGCAAGTATTAATCGGGGATTGCCAGCTCAACAGCCTGAATTGCGTGAAGAAAGCGAGTGTTTATATACGAGTACACTTCTGGGCGGAAGTGGCGATAAAAGTAAACTACTTAGAAAGAAATCAAGAGGTTATTATACATATGTACATATATGAAAGCACTCATGCTAAATAGATATGTAGTGTACGACCCTCATACATACGCATATAACTAACATTTGCACATAATCTGCCACTCATCCTTTAAGTTCTTCGCAGCCACCCAGTCATCTATTCCTTCTCGTCAGTCGTCCGTCAGAGCACAAACGCAATGAAAAAAGTTATGATAAAACTAAAAAAAAAATTAAAGCCTTTTGATACGAGTGAATGTTGGAATACTGAAGTATTAAAGTAAAAGTGACAGCGAATAAATGTAAAACGGAAACAACGGCAAACAGTGTTTCTACGGCGCAGATATCCCGCTAACTATCGGCGGCCAAAGCACTCCATACCGCTACCAACTGCATCACCTTCAATAAACCTTCAACTCCTCCACAACCAAAACGACAGCAACAACAACAGCAGCAACAACAACAACAAGAACAACAACCTTCATGACCCATTTAGGACGCCATCATCTAAGCGCTTTGAGTTGGTAAAATCAGGACATCCTACAAAGTCGTTTCATTTTGTTTGCCGTTTTTGCTTCCGCTCTTTATCCTTAACTTGCCACCATATACAGGTGTGTGTATGTGTTTGTGCATATTTACTTTACTTTTATGCCACTTCCTTAACGCCCATTGCCCTTCATCAGCGTGGTTTTAGGATACTTTTCTGTCATCGAAATTCGTTGCTTACTGCTTTACTGACACAACCAACGCCCATTTTGTGTTGCCAACGGCATATGAACATCATTAATGTCAACAACAACAATAATAGCAACAGGAAGATATCCAGGATATCCAAAGGTACTCGTGCACATATTTCACATAAATATGTACATAAGTATTTGAAATACAAACATATTTATGAGGAAAGTTTTACAAAACAAATTCTAAACACAATTTGAAATGATTCTAATTTCGAGTCTTCAGAGAAGGAAAGTGAAAGGAATAAATCAAATGTGCCTGAAGCGTTCTGAAAGTGCTTTGCGTTCGTACATAGGAATAAAAAATATAGCAAAACAGTATTGTGAATATAATAATAAATTTGATTAGGTAAATACGCCGGATTAGGTGGCTCCATTGAAATTAAATCTAGGCCCTAAATTATCCTAACCTCTTCAACTCCTTTTCTATTTGGAGACTTTATTAAATCACTAGCTTCATCTAAGACGAAAACTAGTCCTACTTCTCTTATCACTAATCTAATCGGGTCAAGCTCTAGACATTTCTATTCACCATACGCGCTTCATGTTCCAATTTAGGTGCGACAGTAGCAGTTGTGCTTTCGGTTCAAGAAAGTTATATGTTATGTGCGACTTAGCATACAATTACCGAACGATCTATTGCTCGGTAAACTAGTAGACAAGATCAGGCAATGTGGTGTCGCATTTCCACATTGTTTAGCTGGTAACAATTGTAACAGATGGTCAAAATCAGAGACATTTTTTTAATAAATAAACATTCGCAATTAAGCAGAAAAAGTACTGTAAAACTAGACTTTATTAGGTTCAATGCCTTTTAAGTAATAGTAAAACAATTACACTTAGTAAAGCCTAATGGCTCAACCAGTCTAAAACATATCGGCTCAGCTCATCGAGAGCAACCAAGAGCGTTCTGATTTTTTCGGAGAAACCAACTCAGGCTCGCTTTTGGACACTACTGGCAACAGATATTCTTGATCTATACACAATAGAATACTTTCGCTCTTCAAATGAACGAGCAGTAGATGAATACTAATCTACACGTAGAGTAGAATAAAAAAGATAAAGTGAGTAACTTAATATTGGATTTGAATCATATCCTCAGATTTGAGACTGAAACATCAAAGCGGCATTGAGGAGTCATTGGGCTATGTGTCTCTGAAAGCATACAATTTATTATAAATTCTACGTGATTGACAGTTTCAATGGAAAGTTTTAGTTCCCTAGTTCTGGTACTAAAACCCCTGGAATATCGGATATTACAATGTCCTTCCATACCGGTAAGTGCTAATAAAACTACTTTCTTCGTTTTCATGCTTCTCCAAAAAAAATTATTAATAAGAATATAAAAAAAAGAAAATTTGTGATGTACATACATACATATCACAAAATGTTATTTCCCTCCATTTTTTTTTATTTTTTTAATTTTTTTTTTCTTTTTACTTCTCGTCAATATTTCTCAATTAATAAATAAAAATTTCCTCGGTTCACAGCAACAAAACACTTGAGTACATACCTGTATTTAAGTACCGTTTGGAAATATACACATAAATATTAAAGGTACTAATCTAATTTGAAGCTCAGTTATCGTGCGCTCAAACTAATGTTTGTATATGCATTTGTACGATTGTGGATTGAGTAGTTTGATTCGATTTCATTCAGAGATGACAATCCCGTAATGCATTGTATGTACATATATACATAGGGCGTTTTCAATAACAATCATTATGATAAATTGATTTAAAGATAACCAAAGACACTTTGGCAACATAAAGTTAAATTTAAAAAATTTGAAGAAAAGACATCGCACCATGGCATGTTATTGTATTTAATCGGCAACTAGCCCAAATTTCGAAAAAAATCTATTTATGGCATTATATACTCCCATTTATTATTATTTGAATTTTTGATACAGATTTACTCGCTCTCTTTAAGTTCTTTTCTAATATTTTTTATTTATTTAAGAGGAAGTAATGCATCGTAGTATTAATATTTATATGATTCTTTCATATATTATATATCATATTTATGAACATTTAAAAGTATTTTTATACGTTTTTTTTTTTGTTTTTATATGAATGCAACTTTTATTTAAAAATTTATCACATTCTTTTAAATATGTTTACAAAATAAATAATTTTTCAAAACAACCCATAATTTTGAATGCATTTTTTATACTACACATTTTTTTTTGTACTCTTTTAATTTTATATTTATGCTTAAATAATTTTTTATACACATAATTTAAACATTGCGTACACATATTTTTTTTTTGAATTTTTTTTGAATTATTTTTTAATAATTTTTATACATAATTTTAGGTCTTTTTCATACGTAAGTATTATTTGCAAGTTTCGAAAACAAACGGTGGGTATATAAACATCGCCTCCTTATGTCTTTTGCCAATCCTCACTCGCTACAACTACAAATATTAAGATGTTTGTTGTTTAATTTAAAAACGGTTTTTCTTTTCAACAGGCTTCACGAACAGTCTCTCTGTCGTGCATTAACTTGTAGCGGTTTAATCAGTGCCTTTTGTAGGTGGAAGCAACCGGTCACGTTTTTAGTGTTGAATGTTTTGGAATAAATATTGTAATTAATACGTCAATTTATGTGATAGGTAATTTTTTTAATATTAAAAATTATAAAATTTTAAGAATCCATTACTTCCCGCTTGCACGCATTGAAGTAATATAATATATTTGTTGTAAGGAAAAAATTAACAAGAAAAGGTGAGTATTTACATGTAAATGTTAATATGTACATATATAATACATAATCACCGTTTCGCAAACTAATTGTGTGTTTGATATTAAAAAGTCTACAAAACTCGAGGAAAATCAAAAATGGCCTATTCGGACCCCATAAATGGTGTTCCCCCAAAAGATAATGGATTCGTCTCGAAAATGTCCGACCAAATTTTGGAATTTTGGAATTATAATTTATATACCGATGTGATCTTTGCTTGGAGATGCTGCGTAAAGCGGTGAGTTTCAGCGAAATTTCTCGATCATTTGTTGCTTTTGTTATTATTTCTATGTACTTATGCATACATACATATATGGACACATATTTAACATACATATATATATTTGGATGTTTCTCCGCAGTGTTAAGGCTCATCAGATTGTCTTGGCTGCTTCCAGTATTTACTTCCAATCTTTGTTCAGTGTAATTCCGGGCGAGAAGAAACTAATTTATATCGATGACATTTTTGTGGGCACATTTTACGAACTTGTAAAATACTGTTATACCGGCGAACTTGTTGTGAATGCTCTTAATGCTGATGAATTGTTAAGAGGAGCTAGAATCATGAAACTCAAAGGCGCCATAGACATTTGCTTGCGGTATATGCACAATCGAACAGCGGTACAGCAAAACATGCTAACTCCACCAACAACTGTACCGAAAATAGCCGGCATGAACACAACAGCAACAATATCGCAATACATACCGTACGTTGCGGGGAAGCGCAATGATGATCTACAATGGCCGAGGCTTTTAAAAGGTAAAGGCTCATCAAGCCCGGTTGAAAATGTCATTACTCAAAAACAATGGGGTCCAAAAGGTTTTCAAAAAAACAGTGGCTTACACCCTAAGATACCGTCGGCGTTCAATTCATTCACTTTCTCGCCTTCAATTTCAACCGACATTCGGAACATGTTTTCGTCAAGTCAAAGTGTTGCCAGCAGCAATGAAACGTCAGAGTCCAACTGGTCCAGAGATTCAACTTCACCCATGAATCCTGGAGATAAATTTGTTGCCAATATAGAGAGTTCTATAATAGCAAAGCAATTATACGAGGCAACAACTGAGGTAAGTCCGAACTCGTCAACCAGAGTGAGGTTAGGGGACACATAATATTATGAGTCATTAACTCAGGTCTCTTATGTATGCTCTTCTGGTCATTGGCAGTGTATATGCGAAGCTATACCATTCTCTCTGAACTAAAATACCTAAAATCCTGTTATCTCCTTTGTCTTTTTCGCAGGGCAACGAGAACCGTTTCATTGGCAGGGTAGATAACATATGGGCGTATTAAATCTTCAAGACGAAAAAAATGAAATCATCTTCATTAACAACAACTACATTACGAAAAATGTAGCATTTTTAAGGACTGATGATTATGCATGGAATTTTACTTTACTAAATCTTTCTGAGTATGAAAAAATCTACATTCAGTAAAAAACTGTGTTTATAACGGTTTATTTATGTTTCCACTATGGCATAAATAGAAGGGAACAACGTTTGGCCGAAAGAAGACGCAAAGGCGCATCAAATGTTGAGCGCAAATAAAAATTGTATGTTCTTGTGCTGTTAAAGTTTATAAGTGTTTAAAATATATATATATATATGCGTACATATGTATTTGTTGAAAACTACAATATAAATGTTAAAAATGTGTCTAAAGAAATATATGTATGTATAAATTTATAAATTCGTCTTAAAATAAAAGATATGTGTTTTGAAAGAAATCTTGAAATCTTTTGTTTTTGTTCAACGTTTTTTTTTCCTTTTTGCTCATATATATCTATATTTAGTTATAGTGGCTGAATATCGCTCTTTATTTCAATAACGACAAATTGAATTGGCTTAAATTTATAACCGCTGAACCGATTTTCGGCCGAAAGCTTCCTTCAATTTATGGTATGCGTTTAGGTGTTTTCCAAACGGACGACGGACTTTTATGCGGAGCTTTTTATTTTACGTCAGAAATAACCCTGGAGTGCTTGGCATTCCCTGCCTAGGTTCGACAGCAATAAGAAAAATAAATTTTCTATTAATTTTTATATTGGTCCGACCAGGACTCCCAACCTCTTCACAATGTAGGTACGAAAAGTATTGGATGAAAAACATTTCAATAACTTTATCTCACTATAAACTTTGATGAATTTAAGAATTATCTCTAACTTTTTTTGATATACGAGATGTGACAATTAAGTAATGAGACTGATTATATTGCCGCGATTGTGCTAACCCTGCGACCTTGAAATTCTCTTTCCCTTCTCCCGGCATCCTGCTCCTCTCCATTGATAAATTTGTCATCGCTCTAGCTTGTTTGGTTCGCCCGTTGTGTCGTGTTGAGTAAACGTGTGTTCGTGGTGCTCGTCGAAAATGGAAAAACGATATCAACAGCAACGCGACGCGATAAAATTGGGCGAACAACAGCATTAGTGGCATGAGTTTAGGGAGGGGCGTGAAAGCGTGGAAGACGAGACGATGATAATCGCGTTTTCTGATAGCCGAGGCAAAGCATAAATCAAGTCTACTATCGCCAAGTACTTGAAAGATTGCGAAAACGAGTCAACAGGATGCGCCCAGACATCGCTCGTAACTGGATTCAGTACTAGTATTTGGCCTCTAAAGGGATCACCGTGTTGCAACAACCGATATGGCACCCTGTGACGTTTTGTGTTTCCTACAATAAAATCGGTGTACAATTCAGCCCATTTCGAATCAATTGAGGACATCCAGGTGGCCAAAACAAGGGTACTAGCGGACATCCCAGTCGAAGCGCTCCAGAAATGTTACGAAGCATGGAAAATGGGATGGAATCGTTGCATAGCTGCCCAAGGCGACTACTTTGAAGGAGATGGCAGAGATGTGGAATAATTTTGAAATATACGGTTTTTATGGAATTAGTATTATTATTGTACTTAATTGTCATACCTCGTACATATGAAATTCCTACTTTGCCGTGCTCTTCAAACAAACAAAAAAATCAATTGATTTGTTTTCTTTGTAATTTTTGCTTCTTTCTTAGCTTTTTCGGGAAATTGCTTAAGGTCATTTAACTGGATATTTTTACTTAATGAAATTAAATCAACGGTTGTCGGAAAAAACTTACCTCTCTATTGGTACAGAGATCGCCGCCCACTGCTAGTTGTTCAAACACCCAATCGAGTTTGAAAGGCGCCCAAAGGCCAAAGAGGAGAAAGCAGCAATTTCTATATTACTAATTATATTTATAGGAATTTGTTATACAAATTTTAATACATATCTATTTTTATATATACCCTTCTTCTTCTTGTTCATAAGGAAATGCAATTACTTTTAATTTTCCAACTGATTCGGGTTATTTCCATATTATAAATACCAAATACCAAATACCACAAAGTTCAAAATCCTTACCATGTGAAAACATTTTTAAGATACCTTAAATTTTGTAAATTTAGTTAATAAAAAAGAACTCTTTCCTTGAAAAACTTTATAAAAACAATTAGGAAATTTAATTAATTGTTCTGTAAAACTTTTTCTGATAACTTTTTTGTATTGTTTTTATGTTAATATGGAGGAGAGGGTCAAATCGGCTCACTATAAAATAAACATATACATATAACCGATTTTTCATATTTGTTGACATCTGAATTCTTTGGACCTGAACTCTTTAAACCTTTCATTGCAAAATTGATTGGGTCAAGGCCAATTGGGCGAATTTCTTTGAGCATCAAGTGCTACTATGAAAGTTTAAATGTATTTGCCCAGCAATTTTCAAATAATTTTAGCTAATTTTAGTCTAAAGAGGTGAGTTCAAATAGAGATATTTCAATATAATGCAAAACTCTGTAGGTATATTTGGTAGCACTTGCTTTATTCCTTATGGACTTGATCTACAGTTCGTTGATTTACCACGAGTAAAAAAAGTTAAACAAAAAAAAACAAGAAATGGTTGACGAAGAATTAATTGTTCTAACATTTTGACATAGCTAACTAATGCATTTTCTACAGAAATTTTGAACGGTTATATCTCAGGAAACCGTTCTTCGATTTTCTAGTTACCTTATGGTCGTTTATGCTATTTAGAAAAAGAAAAGAAATTTGAGATGAAACGAGCGAAACGAAGATGCACGGGTCTTAATATATCCGTAACATATCCAGCCTAAATTTTTTTTTAAAATTTCGCCAATTGCTAGAGAATTAGAGCGGTAATTTCCTTTAAAAACACTAAACGTTTCTACGTTTAAATCGTCATTTTTCAGTACGTCCAATTGTTATTTGGACGTGTCCTGTTCTTTAACTAAAACAAAATATGTTTGTAAATCGTAAAAATGCAGCCCTGTACTTTTGAAACAAGAAAATGGATAACCCTATATAACATATGTACGCAATAACAGAAAAGCGTATGAAATTATTTGTTACGGTTACAGTTAGAATATTCAAAAAATATATTATTTGAAGTTTCGTGATGCAGGTACGAGTACTCTCGTTTATAGGTATCTCTAAAAACTTTAAGCCAATCTGATAGAAAATTCCGGATTATACCTACTTTTGAAGAAACAAATCACTATGTGTAAACTACTAATACTACTTTTTCAGTGGCCTCAACTGATCAGTCTCAAAAGTTTGATATAATCCTTTAAGATAATCAGGTATTGAACGATTTAATAAAATTATTACTATTTTTTGTTGACAAATTTGTACACATTTCAGTAAAAATAGAGCGATTTTGACTTATTTTCAAATAAACCCCGTTTGGTAAAAAAATATAATTTCTTAATTCAATACCTTAATTTATTTATCATTTAAAAATATTCATTCTTTTCTTCCTTTGAATCCAGACCGCCAACCGTCTTTTAAGAGTCAGAATTTATTTTCGTGTGGATTACGATGCTTATTTTATCGTATTTTATTCAAAACAAGAACTCTAATAAATCAAAGTTAGTATTTCATACATTTTTTTCTCTGGCTGCCGAAAATTGGTGATCGAATTTAGAATTTGGATTAAAGGAATAATTTGAACGTTCCCAAAAAAATATAATTAAAACGAAACATTTTGCAACAAGAAGTGAACTAAGTCTTAAAAATAAATTAAATCTTGAATTAATTAAGGACTGATCCCACAGCAAAAAAAGAAAAACTTTTTTGTTTACAATAGAAATTTGTTCCGAGGTTCGCACAGCAAGAGATTCGATGAGTGAGTTCATGGGTGTGCTGGAAGCGTATTTCCATCGTGTAATGTTTCTTGCCAGTTTCAAGAACCAACCAAAAAAAAGATTCTCCATTCCTTGCGCAAATTTTTTTGTGTGTGATAAAACTTGTTGTTTGCTTGTGAGCGCTATGAGCTGCAACCATTAAAAATGAAATATTTAATAAGCGCGGCATGAATACTACTGGGATAACTGAACGCTAATTGGTGAACTCTAAGTTTTGAATCGCTTACGGACCGAGTTTTTATGGAATATATTGTTTCAAGAAAACAAAGTTTCGACATCTTCAATAATTACATCTTCAACGGTTTTTAAGACCTAATGCTTCAGCCTCTAAATTTATACGCTCTTCAAAATAGGGCCAGTAGAAAAGAAGTCTTTCGCACTTCAAAGTAAGCTGCAAATTAAATATGCATAAAAAATTAAATTTATTTTTTCAGATTGCGGTGCCATGTTATCCGAACGTATTTCTGACATGAAGTGAAAGCTTCCCTCCTAAAAAAACCCTCAGCCGTCCGGAGGCGGCTTGGTTTAACTGTCTAAGATATTTTAAAGATATAGTAATCCTGACTAATTAAAGGTGATTTTGATGATTCTTTAGCATAAATTGAAAGTCTTCACAATTACTTATATGTATCCTTTCTTAAAAATGTTTGGATCCAGATGACAATGTATAGATTAAAGAAACAAACACTCAAAAAAAAACTGATTAGCATCTACAATGAAATTTCACTATCTACGAGAAAATCTTGGATAGTGGCCAATCAATCAAAGTTACCCAAGGTGTTAATTTTCTTTCTGTTGCTTTTGAGCTTGGTGCAGGAGGGATATTTCCGACACTATCAAGCCTATTCTGTCGAGTTGACAAAATTAACAAATAAGAGATAACAAAAAAATCTGCTGTTTGATTTTGTGTTTTTGGTTTGATAAAAAAAATATAATCCAAAATGTGGAGGCATATTTTGAGCCTGAAAGATTGCGAGAAAAAAGTACTCTTTTAATTCGGAAGGTAGCGTTTTCACTCAGCTTTTTTGTCGTTTAGGCATATTTTCCGAAATTAGATTCAAATATTTTTGATTTAATAAACAAATGAATAAAACTTATTTATTTTGTTGCGCACCATTTTCCATTTCGATGTGAATATTTTTCTGTTTTTCTCACCAACTGCCAAATGTAATTTGACAAGGACGACATTGTAACCAGTTCGCCAGAACACCAAATTTAATTTCGGGTGTTAAAAAGTAACAAAATTTACTTTACCGGTGACTGTGAGAGTGGCCCTGTATGTGGTATAAATCTGCTTCACGATTTTGTTCGCAAAGAAAGAAGTTATTTAAGTAATTAGAGTTTTTTGGACCACATAAGCGATCATCTAGCGCAAATCCAAAAGTCCCTAATCTCCTGGAAAGCGGAAGATTTACCAAAGGTCTAAATTACTCCCAATGCCTTATAATTACAACCATTAATCATGC